TGGCACACGAGACGAATTTCCTATTTCGTATTCCAGTCTATATGCGCGGGTGCATGTAAAAGAAGATGACGATCATAAATATTGATCATGACGCGGCAGATTCGGATTCGAATTTCGACAAGAGAGAAGTAGAAGAGAGGCAGAAGCGCATTCATTTCAAAAGAGGGGATACATCTACCAAAACTGTCATCGGTATCTTTGACGAAAGGCAATATCAGGCCGAGGAATTCGAATTCGAGGAACGACAAGGACGCTCGAGAAATAGGGTTCGTAATCGTGTGGTAGAGGTTCTGGGCGAGAGTAGTGAAGGGGTTCTTAGAGGAGGGGATCTTGATTTCGAGGGGTATTTCGAGACCAAGGCAGATATGGCTTCATGGAGTGGGCAACCGGCAATCAAGGGGAGTACGGAGCAGATGCGCATGGCATTGCTGACGTTTTCCTTGGTTGGATTGCAGTAGGTTGTGTCTAAAAGAAATTGGTAACAATTGCATTGACTGAATTATTGTGCAGGTTTACTTGGGGCATTGAAATGACCTGTAAGTCAACCATTACTCCAATTCATTGGAAATGCCGGCTGATTGGCCTGAACAGATTGTACGCCATATTTACTTTCCCTTGGTCTCACGAAATCGAAGACCTCGTTAGTATGGATCGCGGGACCTTTGTCTGGGTTGATTATGGCACCGCTTGTGGGGGCAATGGCAGATCGATCGCGTTCGAAATGGGGTAGAAGGAGGCCATATATGGTGGGGGCTTCTATCCTTGTCGCATTATGTTTGTTGGTTCTGGGATGGACAAAAGAGATCGTATCGCATTTCGTGGAAGAGGGGGATTTCAATAAAAGTTGTACGATATTTTTGGCGGTGTTGGCAATCTACGCAGTGGATTTCGCCATTAATGCTGGTGGGTTTGACATTCAAATCTGGGAGTATGCTGTAAATGCTAATGATTATAGTCCAATGGAGTTGTCGAAGTTTGATCGTGGACACACTACCTATACAAAAACAACAAGCAGGATCATCATGGGGTCAGTTTCCTCCTTGTTATTAGCCAACAAAGTATTAACATCTTTCAGCGAGCAGAATGGCTGCTGTGGGACATTTGATCGGATATGCTATTGGCACCGTTGATCTTGTCGCTTGGTTTGGCTCTTCAATGGGTGACACACAATTCAAGAAGCTCATTTTAATCGCGGCATTTGCGCTCATATTTTGCGTGGGTGTCACATCATGGGCTGTGACAGAACGTGTTTTGATATCCAGCAAAGACTCTGATTCTAAATCTGGAATAATCAAAATCACTCGACAAATATATAGAACAACAATGTCAGTTCCGCCCAAAATTCAAGCTATCTTATGGTGTCAATTTTGGAGTTGGATCGGATGGTTTCCATTCCTGTTCTATGGTACCACATTTGTTGGAGAAACATACTTCAGATATGATGCTCCGCATGAGATTAAAGAGTCTAAAGATGCTTTGGGAGATATTGGAAGAATTGGAAGCATGTCTCTCGTTGTATTCTCATTTGTGTCATCTTTCGGGTCATTCCTCCTACCACTTTTGATCAAGTCCCCTGATGAAGATAACTTTACTCAGCGACCACCGGCAAGCATTGCTCGGTTTGTTCGGGCGTATAATAAATACAAGCCGGATCTTCTTGGGGCTTGGTTTGTTGGACATTTGATGTTCTCATCAGCTATGTTCTTGGCTCCATTTGCGTCCTCGTTCCGATTTGCAACATCGTTAATTGCGTTTTGTGGATTGTGAGTTTCCTTTTTTCTTTACCATATTGCTATCAACTAACAGTTCCTAGACCATGGTCTGTTGCATCTTGGGCTCCGTATGCATTTCTTGGTGTCGAGGTCAACAAAATGAGCGGCATACCGTCTTACAGCCGTCTCTCCACTACCGACCGCGACATCGAACTTGAGTCCCCCACTTCTCCCCCATCACCTTCTCTACTCCGTCTCGAACATGGCCCATCTGGAGAGAAAGAAGACGTGGCATCTACTGGCGAACTTTCCGGGATCTATTTTGGGATCCTAAATATCTACACTACGATCCCACAATTTATCGGAACTTTTATTAGCATGATTGTTTTTAGTATATTAGAACCGGGGAAGAGTCCCGAGTTAGCTCAAAACGCAAAAGAGGGCGAACATCATGGGACGGAGGGACCTAATGCTATTAGTATTTGTTTGTTCATTGGAGCAATTAGTACCATAGGAGCGGCTTATGCAACGAAGAAGTTGAGGGATTTGCAGTAGGGGTGCGGGCCTATTTGAGGGTTTATGGGCAGCCACTGTAAGATAAGATTCATCTGGATTGGGATAATATTCGAATTTGCGGGTAGCATTGCATGGCGTTTTGGAAGAAGAATAAGTGTGTGAGGTAGGAGAATTTCGATGTGTCCTTTTTGCAAGGTGTTGGGATTAGATAGATGGATGGATACTGGAATGGTGTAAAATAAGTCTATTTCTTTTGTACTTTGCTGAAATGTTCTGAGAGCGGTAGATAGATAGATAGCCTCTAGGTGAATTGTATGCAAACCTGGTACTTTTATCTATATACTATCTACGTATAATCTTCCATGAAGGTTGGTGAACGTGTGAGCATCGACAGTTCAGAATGAGGTTTCTGAGGCTTGACAATATAAGGGGTTATTTACAAAAAAACAAGATCTCAGATGTCAAGTCTAATGATTTAGGATGGTGAAATTTCCATTGTTTGAATTTGGCTTGTACTTTGGAATGTGCCTGTCTTATATCGCTGGAGTGTGTGCTTTGAATGTTTGGGGTACGGTAGGATATTGGAAGGGTGCCGTCTAAACTCACTCATAAGAACTCGCACTAACCCCTTTTCAACCCCTAACTTTGCGGAGGCGAGGCAAAAGGTACCTTAGCGGAGCTACTAGGGGTTTAGAAACAGTGATTTCATTGTGATCAGGTTCAGAAACCATATCTTAGTTGATAGAGTATTCGTATTATATTTAAAAATAAAGTGTTTTTGAAAATAAAACGTTTTTGAAAAAAAAAACGTTTTTGAAAAAAAAAACCGTTTTTAAAAATATAAACTGTTTTTACTAAATATTTTTAATTTAAAAAAAAATAAAAAGAAATATTGATTGAGATATTTTATATTTTATATTTTCTATTTTCAATTAATTTTTTTTTTCAACTTTGAAATTCAAATCAAACGTATTACCATTACACTATAAAGGATATGTTTTGTTTTGATTAATTAGAAATAAATAAAATTATATAGTTAAAATAGTTTCAAAAACGATTTATTTTCAAAAACGATGTTTTGATTCAAAAACGGTGTTTCGGTTTAAATACGGCTTTTTTGTTAAAATATAATTTATAATTAAATATTATTTATATTTATATACAATTTATATTTATAAATTATTTATTTTCATATGTATTATTTATTTTCGAAATTACAATTTATAGTTTTCAAATACAGCTTTTTATAATAGGTATAGTATATTAATGGTTTCTCAACACCTGGTACCTCCGCTAAGGTAGATAAAGTAATAGGAAGAGTAATTATTTGGATGGAATTTTCTATCACTTTGCTCATTCTTACAATTATATCCCTTGTTTCAACAAACACACCTAACCCAGGGCTAAATTAATTGAGCTTAGTGTGAGTTCTTATGAGTGAGTTTAGACGGTATTATTCATTTGATGTTTCTCTCCCTGTATGTCCACTTCGGGGTCATATTATTGTTGTGAAACCTTGAAAACTTTAAAACTTCTTTGAGGTTTGGCATCAACGGGGGTCTTTGAGTGACTTGATGATCGTTTGTGTATCATTTATCTCTCTCTGCCTTTTGACTTGGGAAAGATGTTTGGCCTTCAAAATAGTAATAAAGATCTCAGTGAAGAAATCGAGAGATGCACACCCTCCCACCCATTCTCTCTTGTTCAATCATGTTCAGTGAACATTTATCATGTAGCCTGAACGAACCCTCACCAGAAGCAAAGCCAAAAAAGCAGCCAAGTTTCCCATTTCTATTTCTAAAAACAGCAAAAAACGAATCTCGGAGCAATTGAAGCTCCCTAGCCGGTTCGAACGACTGACCTGACGATAATAGCTTGTAACAAGTTACTGCAATCGTCCGCTCTACCACTGAGCTAAGGAAGCGATTCTTTTTCATGTTGGAGCTGTCCGTTCTTCGTCCTATATACAGATGTTCAAGTGGGGAGATCCACCTTCTTTTTGATTATGAAGCTCGTGTTGATAATGGAAACTCAAATGGAAAATGTGCGTGCGTGCTGGTACTTGAACACTGATAGCTTAGGGATAGTATACAATCATGTGATTAGGGACCGCTGGCGCAACGGTAGCGCGTTCGATTCCAGATCGAAAGGTTATCCGTTCGAATCGGGTGTGGTTCAATACCTCCTTTAATCATAATTCTTTTGCTTTTGCTTTGGCTTTTGCTGGTTTGGGGTGAGGCAGGTTTCTTGGGATGAGGAGTGAAGCGTATGAGGGGAGTTTTGGGGTGTGAGGCTCTGATTTTCTCTTTGGTGGGGTGGTACGGGACTGCGTATTACGGAGTGCTAAAATCTCGGTTCATCAGGTGTACTTCTCATCAGCTAATTCACTAAAGACATTAAAAATGTACCTATTTTTTAAATATCAGAGTGACCTAAATGAGAGTGGCTACTAAATGGTAGAATTCCGAATTACTACACTACTGTCAACGTCAACTGTGTCAACTCTTTTGCCTAGTTAACGTCTCGAAGAGTGGTGAAATATAGTTTTTGGTATTGAGTGGGCTGGTGGGTGAATGAAGGGGTTAGCCGAGCTAAAATGGGGTTGAGGGTCGTATAGCTCCACACATACAGATTTTTCCACATCTAGTGGGGATTATTGAATTGAACCAATGTATGATATCGTTCCCCACTATTCTTTCTGGGATGAAGTGAATGAATCAGTCTCCAACTGGGTATATATATTCAAACCCAAGCGCCACCTAACATCTAATATCCCTCGTGGCGCAATTGGCTAGCGCGTTCGACTGTTACTTGAAGCAATTCAATCGGCGATCGAGAGGTTAGTGGTTCAATCCCACTCGAGGGAGAACATTTATTTTGGAATTTTTTTATTTTGTTTGATTAATATATATATATGTTCATTCCTTTCTCGACAATATGAATATAAATCTTGAGGAAAGAATATCCATCCAAGAAATCATATTTCAAAAGTGTTATTTTTAAGTATGGCATGTTCAAAAAGGATTAAGCACAAACAAGGTTAATGGTTCAATCTCACTCGAGGGAGAACATTTATTTTGGAATTTTTTTATTTTGTTTAATTAATATATATATATGTTTATTCCTTTCTCAACAATATGAATATGAATTTTGAGGAAAGAATATTTATTCAAGAAATCATATTTCAAAAGTGTCATTTTTAAGTATGGCATGTTCAAAAAGGATTAAGCACAAACAAGGTTAGTGATTCAATCCCACTCGAGGGAGAACATTTATTTTGGAATTTTTTTATTTTGTTTGATTAATATATATATATGTTCATTCCTTCCTCAACAATATGAATATAAATCTTGAGGAAAGAATATCCAAGAAATCATATTTCAAAAGTGTCATTTTTAAGCATGGCATGTTCAAAAAGGATTAAGCACAAACAAGGTTGGTGGTTCAAGTTTATTCGAAGGAGATGTATCTTTTTGCTTTTGTTACTTTAATTTTGTTGTTGTAATTGTATTGCGAGTTGAGTTGGTTGTCTAAGAACTGCTTTTTTTGTTGGCGAAGGCTGCAAAAAGCGTTAAATTGGTCCGTGCGCCCAAAGGCTCCTAGTTGTGGTTCAAGCCCACCCAAGGGAGATTCGTTCATTTTTTGATCTTGCATCTTCTCGTCGAGCCAAGTTTTGGTGTATTTTTGTAGATAGATGTTGAGTTTTGGGCTCCGGAAAGAAGTGGAGCCTGGCCAATGATATTAGAAGGTCTGTAGCTCAACCCCACACTAGGAAGCAATCCTTTTGATTTGTATTCGTATTTTGGCATCTCTTTTTATAGAGATATGAATTTTCATAGTGAATTATTGGTGATGAGCTCGAGGCGTTATATCTAACGGATCCCTTACATACGACACTGAATAGACCCGGGCAGCGGACAAACGAAGGGAAACTCGATATAGTTTGATCTTGGGGATTATCTGCATAGCTTTGATATCACTGACTTACTGCCTATGCAGTCATCAAACGTGGATAATTCTAGTGATTTTTGATGCGGTAATAAGTATAATTGGAACTTTGAATCTCCTACTTTTGTTTGGGCATCTAAATGGAACAGAATGGTATTAGTCACACATCTGGAATTTTGGTAGTTATTGCATGGAGTTGGGAGGAGAAAAAAGGGGAGGGGATGGATACATTCAGATGGACGAAGAAGATCAGGTTGGTTACAAATGATGAGTAGATGAGGTAAATCGCAGATTGTATGGCTACGGAAAGATTTGATGTGGAGTTCTTTTCTTGTTGGGTCATCATCGCTAGATTAGTTTCTGTTTTCTGTACGTCTTCAGGATCTGAAGTCAGATTATACACAGTACTCCACGGTGAGCCAACAAATATTCTTGCATCAGTATCATTTTATATTAAAGCAGTAACAAGATTTTTAGTATTTTTCATAACCCTAGATGAGAGAAACAGTGCTGAAGCTTTCTCATCCAAGGACAGATTTCAAGTACTGGAGCGATGTCAGAATTATAGCCGATCTGTATTCTAGATCCAAAGCATACCTTCAAGACCTCAATATCAATATCTGCCTCCGATAATGGACCTTGAGCAAATGTAATTTGTGAGAGCATTTTCTTCTTCTTTTGGACCTCAACAACTTGCTATTGATTATTAGCTTAGCATATTGGAAATTTAGGAGTACCTCGCTGTGGGCATTGAGCGCACCCAGAGTCCAGTAGGTTAGTTTACCTCTTCAAACGAATCTCGCATCAAGTATCGGATTGTAGTAACATTCTTCTGTTGTCCAACTCTATGAACTCTACAGAGAGCTTGTTCTTCGATCATTGGGTTCCACTGAGGTTCGAGAAGGTATGCTCTTGAACCAGTGGTGAGATCAAGACTACGGATGCCAATCAGTGTGGAACTCTGACGGTTGCAATCACAATGACTCACCCCGCACCACCACAAGTGATAGAAACAAGAATCACGCGAACCGAATCATTACACTTGAAGGCCTGTAGAGCCTCGTTTCTTTTGGAAAGAGTCATGTTCCCATCAATTCTCGTGTATTGAACCCTGTCTTTCAACATCAATTGAACAAGATCCAGAGTGTGAGTCCAGTATGAAAATATGACACTGTCAAACGTTAGTTTTGGAACAGTCTTAAGCGGTTTAAAAATTGATTGAGACCTTTTCTCGGTGGGATTGTGCTTGTCAAGATCCGCTATAAGAGCTTTAATCTTCGTTGACATGTACTTCAACCTAAATGCTGCATCGCCATCCCTTACTGGTGTGGCAGGGGTTGCAGGTGTCGAAATTCCTATAATGTCTAGAAATTCTTGATTACTGTTTTGAGATTGCCTTCCACTGTTTCCTTTTTGAGAACTGCATTGTTCGCAGATATTAGCTGAAGAAAGACCACCAAAAGTATCCCCGAGCAAATATAAACCACAAAGTGAGCAAGACTCAGCATCTTGAGAGTTTTGGGACGACTCATTCTCCGAATTAAAGTCTAGGATGCCATGATTGCAGATCAAACGGAGACGGTTGAGCAATGATAGTCTATTGAAAGTCTTCCCAATTGGATTTCCAGAAGAGATCGCCTCTTCAAGTAACCGATTCGCTTGAATTTTTTCATTCTCGTATTTTTCTCGTTCAACTGCTGTAAAATTGAGATGATGTATTTCGTCGATTCGAGGTGGAAGATGAACAACCGCCTTCGTACGACTAATGGTGATAGCTCGTACAAGAGTCTTGAGCCTCAAAAATCCTTGCGCGTTTGAAGTACTACAATTCTGGAACGGCCTTAAAATTTCGTCTATGAATGTTTGCTTATCCGAATAAGGATAAACTCGCAAGAATCTGACAATACTAGCTAAATCTGTAAGCCTGTTTGAAATAGGAGTTCCAGTAATTGCCCATCGCCTTGTGGAACGGAGAGCGTAACACGCTTGAGCTAGTTGGCTTTCGGAATTTTGGATAATATGAGCTTTTGGAATTAGTTGTGCTTGAGAAATTCTGGGGCCAACATACCTTCATCCAGAACTACACGATGCCAGATCAGAGAGTATATGGATTTTCCCCCTGGCTGTTCTTTGTGTTTTTTCCAAATGGCAGAAACAGTGTGATATGTTGTAATAACAACATCGAACTGGCTCAAGCATTTCAAGTCCGTTCTGTTCTGGCCATGATAAATGTGAGATTTCAGTATTCCTGGGTGAAGGTGTCTAGAACTTCTCAGCACCCGGTTATTTTTAGGTTACCAGGGCACTCACAAACAAAATTGGGTTTCCCATGCCTGTATTACTATTCTCGCGTTAGTCTGAAGCAACAGTTGTACTTTCAAACTTACATGCTGGAGATACGATGAGCAACGTGGTCTTTATGGATGATGTTAGGTCGTAAGGAGAAGAGTCAATATGAGTTAATGGAGTATCTAGGTTAGCTTGATTTCTTGCGATTAGACATATCATAGTCAGCGTTTTTCCCAATCCCATATCATCTGCAAGCAGACCACCTCGAAATTCCGGGGGCGTCTCGTGTGTACGAAATCCGTTTACATTATTCATGTAGCTGTTGGTTTGTGTCAGTAAGTTTATTTGGAAGGAATATTTTCAGCGCCACCTGAATCGCCCTAAATAATCTGTGTCTCGGCTCCATATGTCGAGATTATCTTCCAGGCTCCAACCTTCTTCTCGACGTACCATGAAAGTCAACGCTTGCTTCTGATAACTGTAATAGTTCCATCAGCTACCTGAAAATACTGTTGTCAAGCAGGTGTCTTACCTGAACAAAGCAGTTTTCACAATTCCAGGCGCTTCGGTCTCTTCCAACGGTATCTCATCTTTCATCAACTGTGCAAGAAGATCAGGTCCTAATCTCAATTCCTCAATTTCGAGATTTCCAACTGTGGAATTGAATGAATCAGCCATCACAATATCATCCGGCCCCCATGTGACTGCATGGGGATTTCGGTATGGCACACAACGCTCGCATCCAATCGGATCTTGAAGATACATTGTTTTGTTCGATAAGTATTCTCCTATCTCTTCCATCATGCGATTGGGTCCGAAAATGATTATATTGAGGAACCACGACCTGGATGAGATTCGATGTCTGCCACGCTGACGAAGATTTCCCTCATGGCGAAGTTGATCTTTTGAATGGCAGTAAAGCTGGGTTTCAATCGTCGTCTCATTTTCCAACTCCACAAGGATATTGGCTGATAAGGAGTACGGTATATCGAAAATAATGGAGTCGAGATCGAGCATTGAGGAAAGATGACCGGGGCTATGGAATTTGACAGGTATGGTATTTGAACTAAGATTCAATCCAGGCCTCGTCTTAACAGCAATATCACATAACTGTGTATAGCTCAGTTAGCTATTTCTGCAAGAGACTATGGAGGTAAAGAATTTCTGCGAACCATTCCGTAACAGCATTCTATTCCTTCCTGTTTATTATTGCTTACACTATCCCACATCTCCTCAACAGGTAAGCACAGGTCCTCAATAATTTCTAGACGCATACGTTTGGCCGGTCGGGGGTCGTCGTCCATCTTCGATTACTCACAAAGTTTTTACTTAGTTCACTTGTCTATGATTTATGATTTCGTCAATATATATGGAAGTGCCGGAAATCTGAACATAAGCTAAGCCACCCTGCTGTGGCCAGCCTGGGGAGACGATGTAACCTGTATTGTACGACCCACCGCCTTGTGCATAGCCTTGATGCCCATAGCCTCGATGTCCACCGTTCAAACATCGCGTGTCAATCATCTTCTCCTTCTTATAGTTTCAAAACGTCCTGATTGTCCAACTCAATCTTGGATATTTACATCATAACAGCAGTTCTTATAATGAATCCTCAGAACACAATTGCTGATGCTTTCAAAAAGCTCAAATGCTCCGTTTCCGAGGAAGATGCGCATAAGTTTGCCTCAACAGAGTTGGAAGATGTATGGACCACTGTTTATCAGATTGACAGCGACCAACGGAAACGGCAATCAGGACAGAACTTACGCCGTATTGAACCATTGTTACGAGGTATCGATAAGTACACAAACATAATTCAGGTGTTGTGCAATGGGACTCCTTTCCTGCCATACGTATGGGTTCGTAATCCTCCATTCAACTTGATGAACGAAGTGATTCATAATGGTAATAATCTAGGCCCCAATAAAGTTAATGCTTGAGGTTTGCACCCGACCATAGACGTACGAGATATCGTTCTTATTCCCCCCTAGATTGCAAGTCGCCATCGTGATGTTTTTGAAGCCTTGATTTCAGCGTATGCGGATATTGGTGCAGCCTTGCCACGATTCGACCGATACAAAAAGGCTTTCGATGATAACGTCGAGTTCCAGCTCGCCCTTGCTGCAGTATACACTAAAATCCTCGAATTTCACCAACGCGCCTATAAATTCTTGCGGAGAAGAGGTAAGTTGATCTCCACTTTGATCACTTGTTGTTTACTAAGAATGAGCCAAAGCTTGGCATGTTATATTCCTCTCCCTGTGGAAAGACTTCGGAAGTCGATTCAAGGGTATCATAGAATCCTTAAAGGAACAACAAGATTTCGTCGATATAGAAGCTGCATCTTTTAATATTGTTGAAGCAAAAGAGTCTCGTATTAGAATGCAACAGAGGCAGAAACGCGAGTTGGAGGCAATCGAGGAAGTCGAAAAAAATGCCAAAATTTCTCGCTTACAACATTCTATTACATGGCTTACTGTTGATGACAGAAACCAAGAGACAGAGTATGAGAGGATTTCAAGCAAACGACACGACAGGACATGTGAATGGATAGCGAGTGAGCCGCGGTTTAAAAGTTGGGTGGAAGATAATGGAACTAATAACCCATGTCTTTGGCTTGATGGTAAGCCTGGCGCAGGTAAGTTTTTATTCCGTCGAATCCCAAGACAACCTCATTGCTCATGTTATCATCCAAGGCAAGAGTGTTATATGCTCATACATCATCCAAACGCTCTTGAATACACCCAGTTTGACTACATGTTATTATTTTTGTAGCGATCATAGCACTGGGAAGGGCTGTCATCAAATATTAACAAGTATCACACTTCAAATTCTCAGAAAACATCCCGAAGTCTGCACTCTTATTGCCAACGAGTTTGTCTACCGCGGAGTAAGTTGTGGAATGGCTCAGCTCAGAATTTTGGTGCCACAACTTCTTCAGGTTATTGCATACACAAGGATTGTTGTAGATGGCATCGATCAATTCTTGAAGGAAGACCAGAAAGCGATATTGAAAGAACTTCAGATTATTTGTGCCGGGCCAGCAACTCGATGCAAGGTTCTGTTTTCGAGTCGAAGAGAAGTACAAATCCGTGAAAAGCTTTCCAAACAACCTCGCATCTCCCTGGATGGCCGCCAGGAAGTGGACCAGGATATTCAGTCTTATATTAAGTACAAGATAACAAAACTTCACACATCTAACCAAGACTTATTAAATGAGATTGAATCGATTCTGGCGGCAAAGGCAAATGGTGATTGATCTCAACGTCACTGAAAAGAAAAGAAGTCTAATGCTGATAATTATAGGCATGTTTTTATGGGTCCGTTTAGTTGTTGGTGAACTCAAATATTGTTACAACGATGCAGATTTGATGCAAACAGCTAAAGGCTTACCAAAAGGCTTGGAGTCAGCGTAAGGAACTTATCATATCGTTATTATTATTGAAAGTTAATAATCGTTTCTAGGTATGGACGTATCCTTGAGAGAATCATGGATCCCAAGAACCCCGAAAGAGTAAAACAGATGGCTATGCGTATTTTGGAGTGGATGGCATGTTCTTACAGAGTACTAAAAAGCTACGAGATAATCGACGGGATCGCTTTCGACGGTTCAAATACAACCCTAACAGCCAGGACTAAAAATAGAAGAGAGGTACTAGATCGCTGCCGACCTCTTATTGAGGATGGCCCATCTAATACCGTGGAATTCGTGCACTTGTCAGCTAAAGAGTAATTGCACCCGGTCACGATAACACAAAGACAAGATGAATAACTCCTTTATAGATATATACTCGAGGAAAGTCATCAACAGAAATTGCCTTTCGTGTCGCGTGAGAGCGCGCATTTGAATATCTCTTTCTCTTGCATAACCGTTCTCAATTCCTGCATCCCTCTACTTCCAACATACTCTACAGAAGCTCAGAGAGCTGCAATTATTGTACAGGGCTTTCATGGTCTTCTGATGTACGCTAACATGTTTTGGTATATGCATCTCTTGGAATATTGTAAGAGCCAACGTCAGCTCTCAACAGAGCTTCTATCTCAACTTCAACAACTACTACTACACTACAGAAAAGAAAACATGCCAGTCTCAGATCCAAAAGCCAACGCTAGAGCTTCAAGTCAAGGCCCTAATCTCGAAGCTTTAAATCACTTACCTGAAATCAAGCGGTTAATCTCGGATATCCTCGCATTCAGATTCAGACTGAACTTGGATGATATTTCAGACAAGTCTCCTGAAAGTAAGGCCCCCCTCTTCCAATAGTCTCAAGTTCAACTGGCCTAAAACATATCAGGTCTTTCATTGGAGTCGTGTGATATGGACCCGACGTACTTTAGTACTATCCGCCATCATTATCAACAGACAGCCGAGTCCCTATTGGACAACAACGCTCAGTCGACCTTTCCCGAAATCAAACAAGAAGATTTTAAAGGGTTTCAAAATACTTTCGGGCCATCAGCTTTTGTATGCCGGTATCTACGTTGTGCTTTCAGTACTGATGGCTTTGGATCACCTTCTGAGCGAGACAAGCACGAGTCACAACATCAGCGCCTGTTCCGCTGTGCATATTCTTCATGCGTTGATTTTGCAACAGGGTTTGCTACACGAAAGCAATTAAACAATCATAATGAAAAATATCACTCATCTATCATAAATAGCCCTGAGCTGAGCCTTGCCGAAACACTTACAGCCTCATTCAACAAGGACAAAGACTCTGCTATTACACTATCTCCCTTGCCGAAGGAACTGCTTCCAGAGCAGCAGAAGATGAGAGGACTGATGTTGGCACGGTGGGAAGCGGACCAGCGGGATGCAAGTTGGTCGATGCTCGGAGTTGCCATGCGAAGGCAAGAAATCCCACAATATATTCTTCCATCAAACAATAGCAGAGATCACGAATTTGAACCCACAACACCTATAACGCCGACGCTTGATTCGGATTTTTATTTCCTTCCTTACGGTGTAAGTTCTGCTGAAATTTGATCTACCTTGGTACTGATACAGATTAGGTTGATCCACCCCAAGACCGAGAGCCCAGTGATGGAAACCTGGATGATCTTTCTAACCCCGACTTTGATGCGTACCTGAAGGGTAATGACATAGCCGGCCTACACTTTGATCCGGAAGGTTTCCTGGACTTTCAGGATATTGCCAGTGGGACAGCGACACCTACCCCAGAATTGTCACGTGGGAACGTTACATGACGTCACATGACCATGGGAATACGGCACGGAGTGCGGCACAGAAACATGAAGAATGGGATTGTTATGTAAGATAATATTTTAATTAATATATTAAAAGTAGAAGTATTTTATTTATTAGGTTATATGAATTTATATATAAATTTAAATATTTTTTTTTAAAAGAATAAATTGGAAATCCAGAGTTTTTAGAAACCCTAAAAGATTATTAGCTGAATTGAATATTCTTTTAAGCTATTATACCCTTGTCACAAAAATGACCAGTATCACAGAAAAAGTTTATGTTTACGAATATGGAAAAGACAATGTAGTCGTTGAATGAAAAAGATTGTGGAATATATTCAAATCATCTTTCTTAGTTCGATAAGTACTTCATCCAAAGTGTCAAAATAGCCCAAGCCCCCTCACGAGATCAAGTCTCGCCGTAATCTTGACTACAAGTGCTTGGAAATGCCGTTATATTTCCTTGTCAGTTAACAAGGCCATTGGCAAATCTGAAGAGAGCGAACAACCAGTCTTAAATAAGCTGTTTCGTCTGACTACTTTCATTTGCTTTAACTTCCTCGATGAACCATTTTACAATCTCTAGAGCCAGTGGACACAGTCTGCGTTATCGACAGAAAATGAAGGAGAAAGTAAGACGCAACCAAGCACACCCCAGAGAATTCTGCAATAGCACTCTTCAAATCCTGTCCGATGATTCTTGAGCCAAGCGAGCTTTTAATCAAATGTCGATAGAACCTAGCGATGATTCCATTTTTTTTATTTTTAAAAAGACTCGTTTCAAATCTTCAAATCGATATCTTTCTTGCAAGTTGCATGATCAAAATCCACATCATCCATCTATCTGTCTACACCTGCAGCTACAATAGCAATGCAGACCATAAATTCCCCACCTCGCTTACGTCCAAAACCTCCAGTAACAATTGGAAGTCCCAACCAACCAACCCTCTTCTCTCTTGTCCAATATCTCCACCCCCCCAAAAAAAATTACCAAAAAAAATTCAAAAAATCAAAAAGAAATGGAGATTACCCGGGATTGAACCGGGGACCTCTTACATGGAGAATCAATCTGTGAAGACTGATAAATCCCTAAGCAAGAATTATACCACTAAACCATAATCTCTTTTCTGTTTTGTATGTTCGAGTAGTTGGATTTCAATATATATATTCATTTTCCAGTCACGCTGCTTTACTATCGTTTTTCGCCAATGCCAATGGATAATTTTATTTTGGGATTTTCGTAATCCAGATTTCTCTTTCACTTTTTCATTGTAAAAATCGTAAGATTAAATGGTAACCAACTTTCCTTTCAATCATGTTGGAGTATCGTATCCTCCTTATTGTACTGTAATTATATTAATCTTCATTTCCTTTGTTGGTACATCTTTCCTCTCTCTTCCACCCCTTCATATTTTTCAACCGAAATGTACATACAGTAGTAGAACCTTACAGCATAGACATACCCGTAAGCACTGGGCACTGAGCACTGAGTATACGATCAGACGATTGAATTTCGTCTTAGACAATTAGATCTAATACCAGATCTGCAAACATCTATATGGCAAAGCTATCCAGTCATTAATTCGTTAATAGCTAAAAGATATAACAATCCAGTAGATACCTAGTACATCCATATATAGGTACCAATTGTACCAAAATTTACAAATAACATGCCACGCTCTCAGGAAAGGCTCCATCCCATGACACCCCAGTGTCTGTAGTATATATATCCACCAACGATCGTGAGAAATACATCAACAGGCCTGATAGTTCAGTGGTAGAATTCTTGCTTTGGGTTATCCAATCTCAATTGTAAGAGGTCTCCGGTTCAATCCCGGATTAGGCCCTGAAGTAAACTTTTCTTTTTGCATATGAATTGCGCTGGATCCCCCTCCACCCCCCCCACTTGCGTTCATACCTCATTTTTTTGCGTTTCAAACCCTTGTCTTATTTACTTGGCAAGTGGGCAACTGAGAGGAGACTGTACTACTGCAAAAAAATATGACCAAAATAAAATGATTTACAACTTTTACGTCTGCTCCAAGGGGCCGTGGGCAGCGATGAATGTCAGTTAAAATTGCCTCTAGATAAAAAAAAATACATGACTCGAAATGACAAAAGTATGTTTCCGGTACGGGGAATTGAACCCCGGTCTCCCGCGACTTGATTGAAGCTTGAAAGCTTCGAATGAGAGGCGGAAATGCTAGCCACTACACCATGCCGGATGTTGAAATGTATTTGATATAGAGATCTGTATTAGTTGAGTATATGTAGCAGCCGACTGGTAAGTATTGTGGGGTTGGAGAAGAAATTTGCTCTGTAGAATCTTAAGCGAATAGGAAGGGGTATACAAATGGGAGTGGGGTTCACAGGAATGGGCAATTGGGCGGAATTCTTGTTCGCAACAATGAGATTTCCATGAGTAGATAGAGTTCCAGGGTAAGATTTACGAATGAACGCGATCATATTGTATTACAGAAAGTCTTGAGTACCCAAGAGCCTTGGGAACAAATTTGTATTCAAAGATTAGAAATGAGAAAATGCCAAGGAATAAGAAACATTCTATGTTTGCTAAAGGCTCCCTTTAGAACCTCCTCAAACTTCATGCAAAAACAATGAGAAGACATGAACCCCAAATTGATGAGGTTGAGTTTCCCCCCCGCAAACCTTTAAAGGGCTTGGTTTGAGACTTTCGTTTTGACGTAACTATTTCGAATTTGATAAAAATTATATCAATCGATAGCTTTTACTAGTTGAATAGTTATTTGATTGATACTCAATGCAAATTATATGATGGTTTGATTTTCTATTAAATTATAAAAATCAAAACAAGAAAAACGAACATCTTGCTCGTACCATCAAAGTTTATAGTCATCATTAAGAAACAAAGAAATGTCCTCACTCGCAGCAAAACTTTTAAATCTGCACGCAAAAAGAACAGAAAAAAAACAAAAAATGCAACCCTGATATCCCAGCTTCAAACTGGGTATGGAAGGAAAGAATGTTCAATGAATGAACCTTCTAATAGGAATCGAACCAATATCTCCGGAATCAAAATCCGACGTGCTAACCATTACACCATAGAAGGGTTACTTGCTTGTTGTTGGGAACTCATGTGTATTTGAATGTATATTTGCGCCTTTGGCGGGGGCATAAAGACTTTTTCCTCATCTTTTTTCATGGTGGGGCGGAGGGGTCGGCTTGGACCACTGAGATAGCGGGGGGTGGGGTGTGAACGGATCCGAAAGCTTTTGGGCGGAAGCTAAGTCACCTAAGTGGGATGCAAGCATATACCGGTCCTTTTCCGGGGCCAGAAAACGGGAGCTAGAAGCATTTGTGAGCAGTGTAGTGAAATGGAGGACAACTGACAAGAGAAGAGAGATCGGAAGATATCTGATATTGCCTCCCTGCAACAAAATATCGTATTCACCCTCCCCTGTTCTATATAATCGTCTATATACTCCCACCGTGTAAGGTTCGTTCCAAGTCTCATGTCTTTTTGTACATCGCCCCTCTAGCACCACGTATAAACTATGAATTTATGTCTTCTTATGCAAAACTGTAGCAGAAGCCTGCGAAATACCTCAATTAGTCCCGATTTGCAATAGGTTTGAAGGACTCATAAGACATACCTGATGATTGGGGAAAATTAAAGTATCTGCAATAACCACATTTTCTCTTCTTCCAGCGGCAAAAACAATAACTTCTGCAATATCATCCGGTGTCAATGGTTCAGACCCGGCGTAGACAGCATCCGCCTTACTTTTATCTCCATAAAATCTAACGACACTGAATTCCGTTTCCACTTGTCCGGGATCAATCTCAATAACTCTTATTCTTGTTGCGATTAATTCCTTTCTTAGCGAAACCCCGAAACTTCTAATGGCTGCTTTGGTAGCACAATAGATGCTTCCTCCTTGGTATGGTTCTCTTCCTGCAATACTGCCAATGTTTATGATATCGCCTTTTCCACCATCGGGGCGTGCTTTGAAAATTGGGAGAATGGCTTGAGTCATGTTGATTAATCCGGTTACATTTGTTGCAAACATTATGTTGATATCTTCTTCAGCGATGGATGGGGCTTGTGCTACCCCTTTTACTAGACCACTGAAATGAGTTTGTTGTTAGCAGATGTATCGTGATCTTATGCAGAATTCCAATCCCAAGACTTCGGTAAGGGAAAAGGCATGACAACGGAGGAAGCCTTGAAAGAAGTCGAAATAAACATGTTAATCGCTGGTATGAAGACAGCGGCCGCAGATTGGTAAGATGGGACGTCAATGCCAGCCCCTTGGCCCGTTGCGTTGTGATAGCCGTCCCCATTCCCCAGCCATTTGAAGTCTGAAACCACTCACGCATTATTAACTAGCACATCAACATCCCTCCACTCCTCTGGTAATCCACCAACAAAACCCTTGACCTCTTCAGGTTTACTGACATCCAACTTCACAGTCAGAACCTTCACACCTTCACCACATTCCTTCTCAATATCCTTCTTCACCTGTTCCAAAACATCGATTCTTCTCGCTGTTAAAATCAATCTCAGATCTTTAGGAGAGGTTCTCGCAAATTCTAAAGCGGTACTTCTGCCAATTCCCGAAGAGGCGCCAGTTACAACAATAGTTTTGCCCTCGAGGCGTTTAGACATTGCGGAAGACATGTTGCGTTTATAGAGGTGAAGGTGCGGAAGGAGGAATTGAGAATGAGATGAAGATTTGAAGAGGGATTTGAAGGTTCTTAGGACTATAAATGATCTCTGAAGAGTGGGCATGCGTGAAATTGAGATATATCTGGTTAATTGAGGAGGGAGTCAGAGATAAGGGAGAAGGAACATTGTTTACTATGACTCGGGAATTAAGGTGGGGTTTGATAGCTGTGAGCTTACCCCACATTTCGGAGATAAGACGGGATTGGCCGTCGATTTAGACAAGGTGATTATGGATCTATTGTTGCGATGTGGTGAATTAGGCTTTTAGAAACGTGATCGCACTAGGCCATCTACGGGCATATAAGCCCCCTGTAGCTTTTAGCTCTTTAATTAATATAATAACTATATTATATTATACCACTTTGTTTATATCAGTTAATTAACTATATATCTACTATCGAGATAATATTAAAAAAAAGATAGTAAGAAACACTAATAATTATTAAAATAGCTCTTATTTTATATTTATATTTATTTAATACTTATTTAATAAATGATGTAAATTGAATGAAGTGTATAAATCGTCTCGTCGTCTTGTAAATAATGGCATTTGTTTTTAGAAGAGGGCATAGTTTACAGATATTCGAATTCCGAATTTTGGAAATTCTCGATGTTATATATTATAAAAGGGGTATCATGAAGTCTCATCTTCGGACAATTACAATCTTCTGAAAACATTTCCACTAGCGCTTCGTCTGGCATCATCTCGTCTACTCCTACTGTTGGAAGGCTTGGCTTCGACCTTTTCTTTATCCTTCTTGCCAGCAGGAGCGAATGTGACTGAACGTTCGCCAACAACATCGCCCCTATTTTTACTGACTCGACCAGTGCCTTGTTTGCGAGCCCCCAAAGCATTATCTTTACGTTGGTGGCCCGATTTTTTGTACGACGAGGAAGAGATACGCATCTCGGGAGCTGGCTTAGGCTTCGACATAATCTCATCATCATCATCATCGTCGCTCGATTCGTCCTCGCTATCCACCTTGCGTTGTTTAGTTTCCTCACCACCACCAACAACCTTGGTACTAGGGTTAAGAGCCTGGAATTCTCTGCTACGCTCATCAACAGCAAAGTCTTCATCCTCGAAAAGCTTGCCGAAACGTGAGTCGCCCAAGACACCAGCAGTCTCATCAACCTTCTCCCTACGCTCTTGTCTCTTGAGTACTTTGTCAACCAAGTTCTGATTGACCTTAACCTTCTTGCCACCTCTGATTCTACTAGCTCGTTCTTTCTCGACCTTCTCTTTAACACGTTTGGTTCTCTCGTCATCCCAGATGTAAGGATTGGCAATCAATCTGGCTTGCTCATACAGCTTAGAAGCCACGAAGTAACCGTGCATATATGGTCGTAAGAGGTTGGTAGTTCCCACAAGATGACCCAAGTTGAGGGCCTTTAGTTCTGGTAATGTCAAGAAC